AGACTTAACGGAAAAATTGCTAACTCGGTAACCAGGAAAGCTGGAAAGCTGAAATTTTAAGGTAATCTTCCTTGTCAAAGTACAACTTAAGCATTTCAAATTCAGCCTTGAGGTGTGCATGGTTCTTACGTACGGACACTTAAAAGTTTTGGCGGAAAAATTTCTCACTGAACAGCTAGGTTACTTTTAAAGAACGACCGTTAAATGGAAAATGTGCATTTACTTTATGCAAAATTTATGATGATTTATGCTAGTGACCGCAAGAGGTAGGTAAAGCAACAACCATTTATGCAATTAATGACCTGAGTACTTCAAGTCCGGTGCAAAAACATATGATCGGACGGGCCGACCCGATGCGTTCCAGCCTGGGTTTAAATTTTTCATAATTATAGCCACTGCTTTGTTGCAGATGCTGTTATCATTTCAGGATGATTTACAACGTCTGAACTGTTCGCTAGTGGTAGGAAGTTTTGACAATGCAGGTGCTAGCTCAGTTAGCTATTTGCTGGGTAACATAACACTACCAGCAGAATTGGACCGACTGCCAGACGCTCGGGTGTTGGCTTATTCCAATTCAACAGTCGAGGAAGAAGCCTTGAACGGACAGTTGCTGAAACGAACTGTTATACACTTTGCCATCGAATTTTACGACTATGGTCGCAATTTCAGTACAGCTGAGTTGTAATCAATCATATTCTTGCTCTGTCATCTCTATGCAGTGTCCTCAGTCCTCCGGGATCAGTAGTGATGTGCAACAATGCACATACGTGAATAGGAACTGTTATGAACGCCATCCAACACTCACGCGTTTTGCTAAAAATACTGCCTCTACTCAGAGCTTCTGTCCCACTCATTCGAATACATTTCTTGGCAATCTGTAGCCTAAATTTGATTATTCCGGAGTCATTTTTTGTTTCTGTAGCTAAATTTTTACTTTCGTTTGAATCTGATCCTTCACCGTTTGAACTGTGCCATTCTTTTAAAATCCATTTTACTCTGACGAGCTGAGGCTCTCGTCGTTCATAGTTATATTTGTTCGCATCATATCTATGTAACCAACAGTGTGGTATTCGAAAATGTAATTTGACTGAATTTATTTTCTTAAGCCTGAAAAGGCTCAGTGATTCCGGTGCCAGTACTTTATAGAAAAGCACGTGACTGAACTTAGTTCATGTTTTGTTATAGCAAATCTATGTTCAGGTGCTAGAATACCCAGTTTCGATAATGAAACGCAGCCGTAGATTTGATTTTAGTACTTCATAAACAGAACTGTCAGAATTCTTCACTTTAATATACAGCTTGGGTACCAGGCTATATAGGAGGAGTGTTGCTCGTGCAAAATTGTGTACTATGATGACTTTTTATGCGTTTTTGCTGTGCAGCGCTGTAAGGCCGCTACAGCAAG